TAAAGTCACAGCTGGCACAAGTGTGGCTGCACTGAGGTCCAATTTTGAAAAAATCAAGGGAGCCAATTTCTGATCTGCTAGGGATAGGAAAAGTATGGGAAAGCCTCTGTATGTCAATGTAGAGTACCACCATGACAAAGAATTGGTGAAAGTCAATGACAAGGAGATATCTAACAAGATCTGTATAATTGGGCGTAAGGCCATGCAGATGGAGCGAAAGAGGTCATTGCACTCTTTCCCTCATACTGTGGGATTAGCAGAAATTGTGGAAGACTTCAGAGCACTGCAGATCACTAGAAACACCTAACATGGCATCGGTAGTTATATTTGCCTGGCGTTGATGATGTTGGTGGAAGGTATACTCTGGACTGCAGTTTGAATGAAAATTTAACTTCAAGTGAGGATGATTTTTCTTCTGGCCAGTTGAGTCATGTTCCTCCTACCCCACTGCCTATCATATTCTTTGGGAAGAAAGGTCAGTCTGCCTCTCAAAACTCTTAACAATCTTTTGATAGTAGCAGTGCACCCACCCATTAGTCACAAAAGAGACACAAGTTACTGTACAGGAAGCAATGGTAGTTGGTTTCAGGAAGTCAGAACAAATTTGGGCAACTGAAGTTTGATCTTGTCCACAGGAACACTGAAGAGGATAATTTGCATGGCGATCCAGATGATGTCACCAAGGAGCAACGTGGATCAAATAGGAATGGCCAAGTGGTGAGTTAGCTCCTGGCCAGGGAAGAATCTATGAGGGAAAGATGGAAATGTTTCTGCCAAACTGTAGATTTACAATAAAAACTCTTGCTTTTTTGTACTGGACTCGAGGCGAGGCCTTGGTGCACCAACAGGAGACGAGATCCCGTTGCAAAGTGGCGGTGATTCCCAGTCATGGCCTCGAGGTGAGTCCCTGGCATTGTTTTGAGGCTAGGTCCTGCACGGACTGGGGTGGAAGGACTGTAAATTGTGTTTGTTTTATTTTGTTATGTTTCTATGTTGTTCCTATGCTGGACTTTTAATTTCTTAGTTTTTCTATTTTATATCAAAGAATCTGTGCTTAACTGTCTGTACCAAGGTATTTTTGTGCCTAAGATGGCGCCGTTAAATGGCAACTTGTAAACTTTTCACTGTACTCATGTGAGTACACGTGACAATAAAACTAATTTTAATTCTAATTAGGACTGAAGATGGCAGTGAGATGGCGGATAAAGGTGTGTCAGGTCAATCTGAAAATTATTTTTTAGCGCAGAACCTGTAAGAGGAAAGCAAACTGCAGCTCCTTTCCTTTAGCAGTTAGCTACCCTATTCTGAGATTGGACTCGTGTTGACAAACAGGAAGCATGTAAGGTAAGTTGGAGATGCAATAGCCTAGTGGGTTTATCGTTATCACTGGACTGTTAATCTAGAGACTCAGGTTCTGGGGACCTGAGTTCAAATCCTGCCATGGCAGACAGTGGAATTTGAATTCAATAAATATCTGGAATTAAGAGTCTAATGATGACTGTGAATCTATTGCTGATTGTCAGAAAAACCCATCTAGTTCATTAATGTCCTTTAGGGAAGGAAACTGCCATCCTTATCTGTTCTGGCCTATATGTGACTCCAGACCCACAGCAACATGATTGACTCTTAGCTGCTCTCTGGGATGGGCAATAAATGCTGGCCTAGCCAGCAATGCCATCATCCCCTGTGAACAAATAAAGGAAGTGTGATGTTAGGATGCTTGGCAAGGTTAGTAAGCCAGACAGAAGGAGAGCATAGGGTGCCAGGTAAGTAGGGTTCCAGAGACAAGTGTGCCAGCTGGGGAATGATCAGACACCAGGGGTTGGATGGTATATGAGTGAGGGATAGGGAGGATGTCAGCTGGGGAGGAGATCAGATTGACAGCAGAGGCCAGTGATCAGTTCTGTCAAGGGTGTTAGTTTTGGTCCGGTTCGTATTTGGCTGGTGCAAGGGGTTGCTGGGTGATGTCAGCTCAGATCCAATGGAGGATGGGAGGATTTGGGTCAGGTCTGGCCATGGTAGGGGTGTTAGTTTCTGTATTTAATAAATTAACTTTTCCTGATTAAATATTTTACTTAAATTCATCCGTACCCTCTGAAGTTTCCAATTTAAACAGAGACTTTTGGAGGGTTTCAGGCATAGGGGAATTGCCTGGAGGAAAATTCAATTTCCTGGGCAATTCCTTAGAAGTGTGCTATGATGGGGATTCCATAGGATCCTCATGTTGAACTGCTGTCTACACAGGTATAATGACTGCCTGCCTGCAGAAATCTGTGACTTTATATCATTATGATAAATGTCTGTTGGATTCTTCAATGGCATGTTATCCACGGTCAGTCTTTTATATTATGATTGATAATATATAAATATTGCTGCATCTGGTAAAATTACATTGCTGGAGGCAAACTAAGGCCAATGTGAAGATAAATAAGGAGCATAATCCAAGAAATAATGAAGTTCATTGATGACTCATTGTGAAAATGTAAAGTAGGTACAACAACCTTTGTTTTAACCAGCACCTTATCAACTGGTATTCTTGCTAAAAGGGCCAAAATTATAGATGTCGAATACTGTGATTTACCACAATGTCCATGTTTTTGTGCTGTAAATAAAGTCTAACAACCATGTGGATACTCTCTGCATTACATTTCTATTACTTATTGTGTGTTTTTACATTGATTTTAGGTGGTGTGTTGATGTTTTTACAAGGATGTTTTGAGGGATATTGATTCGCAAGGTTTACTACGGTTATGTTTTTGATCTTGATTATCTAGCATATTTAATCAATCAGCACACTCCTAGTCTCAAAGGACCGGTTAATAAAAATAGTTTGCTTTATTTACCAGAAGAAAAGGCCAATGTGCGAGGAAAGCTTTTGCTGAATACTAATGTCTTATACAACTTAATTTTTGTGCAAATCAATAGGTAATAGTGTCATCTATAATATTTCACAAAAATGCCCAGTGTTGGAAATATATGAACAGAGCTCTGGACCTTTTAAAACCCGAAAGCAAAAATGTGCTGGGTTAGCAGAGCAGTAAAAACCTCAAGCAAGTGGTGGGATTGACCTGTGAATGGAGTCTGGATATTCTGGAGGCAACTACAAAGAAATGACTGCCTAACAGGGAACACTGACTCAATCATTTTGCATTTACAATTAAAACCTTGCATCCGAGACAATTAACCCAAAACCAAAGGATCCAACCCCAAGACCATTTCCACACTTCTGGCCACACAGCCCATAGAAGATACCGACTCATGGAGGCAGTGTGAACCCAAGAGGCCTACCATATCAATCGCCCCACATCCAACAGCAATCAAAACCGTTAACACCTTGCCTAAAATTCAGAAATCTAATTAAGCCGATCAAGCCCATAAAGAAAACCTCAACAAAACAGTGGGCCTAGAGATGAGCATGGCGATATGGAGTCCCCGCAAATACAGGCCCTAATCTCACCGCCAGAGTATCTGAACCAGGAGACAGGAATAAAGAGAGAGTGCTTTGCAAGACCAATGGCAGACCTCAACGACCATCAAGACTGACCATGTTAAAAGGAACCAAGACCAACAAAACGCGAAGCACCAACTAACCCAACCAACACTGTGAGTCCTCAGGCCCAACTCAGGTGAAGACTGAGCTCAATAGTTCAGCAAAAGTAAAGAAAACCCTAGTGCTTATCCGATAGATCCAACAAGCATCTAACTGCAACGGTGGACTCAATCCAGACGGAGTAATTGCGCAGTGAGACGTACCCTACCACGTTCGGGGTACGGCAAGCCAGAGCAACCTCATCAGGCAAATTTCAAAACCACATTCGGAGTGGTGAGCATAATCCCGAGACCTCAGAGTACTAACTTAGTTAGTAGTGGGAGGCAGATGGCATCAATGTATTGTGATTCTAAATAATAGGGTTTTTTAGATAATAGTGTACAGTTGCATTACCTTGTCTTGTATTGTTGAGTTATCTTTTCATATATTGTTGAGTTATCCGTTTCCTGTACTGTTGTGTTACTTTTTCTGTGCATAAATAAACACAGATTCTTTTGCCATCAAACATCTGTCTGCTGCCTTTTCATTACGTCCTGATTAATAAGTCCAGTGTCTACAAAAAGGTGTTGGAAGCAATTCGAACCTCTTAAAAGTCAAGGCTGAAACCCAAACCCTACATAACTTAGCTATTAAGTGTCACAACTGCAGAATCAGACACCAGGAACCGTCCCCATCTCCCAAAATCTGATGTCAAATACTGCCTATCTATTTGATACTGAAGCCATCACAGCTATTGGATCTAACTTGAAGTGATAACCTTTTCATTCCAACAAGGAACTCAGGCAATTGGTTCCACCAGCATTCCACAGAGATTGATTGAGACTTTGTTCTTATCTTTTGCTCTTCTATACTCATTTTAATATTAGTATCTGCTGACATTGCTGGCAAAAACTTTATTATTTTAACTGCTGAGGAACATTGCATAAAACTTGTAATGAACTAACCTTTGCCTATTTAAACCAAAAATATGACTAACCTGAACTGGTCTACTCTAACTTGAACTATACAAATTAAAAGGAGGGTACGCGAGTTTTATTTCACAGTTCATTGACCATGCTGGGAACAGTCCTGGTCACCATGGTCTTCTATGGTATTTTTAAAATTATTTCAGTCATAGGAATTTAGCAATATAAGTATTTCAACTTGCAAGGTATCAAAGTTCAACACTTTACTCCTGATAAGAAATGGGCCACTGTTTCTAACTACAACTTATAATGAGAAAATCCGATTTTCTTAAAGCTATGAAGTCACTTAATCAATTTCAACAGCCACTTTATACTTTAGAATTTAACTGTGCCATGTCCAGACTGCAACATTTCTACCCCCTTCAGATTTGTTACGATGGCAAGCACTAACAAGAGCAATATCCAAGCCAACAGTCTTTATAAGTCAATGAAATTTCCTTGTGTAATGCGTTTCTCTCCCCCGTAATATGGATTCAATACAGTACCTCCTCCATGTCTGTAAGCCAGGTAAGGGAATCTCCAGACATTGCCCAGACCCACAGCACAGCCGATCATCGAGAGCAAGTAGTCAGTCTTCGAAGACCAGTTATCTCTCTTTACTTTTTCATTATTTTTACGCACAGGTTTATTGACAGCACTCTGGGGGCAGAGAAAGGAATTGACCACATCAGAAAGTAGATTCTCTCAGGGTAAACCTCAGCAATAAGTCTAACTCTCCCCCACTGTAGAAACAGTTCTTTATTCCCGATTTTACAGCAATTACTTAGTAGCTTGGAAACATCGTGAACCTTGCAGAGTGACTGTGCAGTTCACAACAGCTAAGAACCCCGAACAACCAGCACCTCTCAGGATTTTACACCTTTTGATAAAATACTCACTGTATCTGCCAGACAGTGTGTTTCCTGTTCAGTCTGTGACAGCTCAGATAAAGCCATGTCCCTCTGGTCCATCATCGGGTAACGATGAATAAATTTTTCACTTGTTCAGGAGCTGCATTTAAACCATAAGGAGTAAATCTTGCCTGAAGGTATTCTATCCTTCCAATGTTCCAGAAATCTGGTGAAGAACTATTCAGCTTTTCACCAGGTAAATGACTGGTGAGGCTGACAAGGCTTGTTCAAAAAAGGCAAGATCTAGCTGCTCAAGTCTGTGTGGCTTCCAAGTTTCCTGACTCATTAACTAACATCCACACTAAAAAGATTGAATTGCAGGTATTTGCATTTGTTTCAGAACACTCAGTGACAGAATTCAGCTGTTTTGCATCACATTATTCTCACCAATGTTTTGAAGTGAGGAAGTCACGATGTAGAGAAGAGACCATGGCATGAACCAGCTTGTGCAGCATTCAGCATGGGGTGGCTGTTAATCTACTGTTACACTAAGGTTTCTCATTGACCAGGAATCTCTACAACGATCCCTGGCTGCCATACAATTGTCAGGAAAAATTTATAGGTTGACTATTGGGTGCCCATTCGGATTTAAACTGAATGCTGTTGCAACATTTTAAAGTCTCGGACTTCAAGGGTTTTTGTCAGAGGGAACCAGATGCAGGGATTTGCTGTTTGTAAAATTAAAAATCGCATTCTGTTCCCTTGGAGTCAACTGCTTTAGGAATTTCTCATGGTCTGACGAATCTCCAGCCGTTGGAATATCTGGGCATATCTGTTCCAAGCATAGTGAGGCTGAGATAACAAGGTGTAGAGCTGGATGAACACAGCAGGCCAAGCAGCATCAGAGGAGCAGGAAGGCTGATGTTTCGGGCCTAGACCCTTCTTCAGAAATCAACAGTGAGGCTGATCCAGGTTTTAAAATTATTTCACAAGATATTAGCATCTCCATTTGTTGCCCATCCTGAATTACACTTAAAATGAGCGACTTGTTGGGCCATTACAGAAGGTAGTTAACAGTTAATCACAATGCTGTTGGTCTAGAGTCACATGTAGGCCAGACCAGGTAATCAAGGGAAATATTGTTTGATAAAATAGGTAGTTGTCAGCAATAATTTATGGTAGTTTATGGCACCGTTAGAGAGACTGGCAATCAATTCGAGATTCTATTAACCAAATAGAAGTTTCACAAGCTGCTGTGATGAAATGTGATGCATTTGGCAAAAAACCCAGCCAATTACAGCACTATCAGTTTACTTTCAATCATCAGTAAAGTGACGGAAGATGTCAACAACAATGCCATCAAGCAGCACCTGCTCAGCGATAACCTGCTCAGTGATGTCCAGTCACTGTCCACTGCACCATCAATGTTGATGTCATCTGCAAACTTACTTATCACTCAAACCTTCCAGTTTCAGTAACATCCTTGTAAATCATTTTAGTACCCTTTCCCAAAATTGTACACAGTACTTTAAATGTGGCCTTTCCAATGCCCTGTATAGCTTAACATGACATCCCAACTGCTGTACTCAATACTCTGACTGATTAAGGCAAGTATGCCAAATGCCTTTCACCACCCTGTCTACTTGTGACGCCACATTCAAGAGACTATATACCCACACCTCTAGGTCTCTCTGTTTGACAACACTGCCCAGGATCTTACCATTAGCTGTGTAAGACCTGCCCTGGTTTGTCTTACCAAAATGCAAGAGCTCACATTTATCTAAATTAAACTCTATCTGCCATTTCTCAGCTCACTAGCCCAGTTGATCAGGATTCCATTGTACACTTAGATAACCTTCTCTACTCATATACCACCAATTTTGGTATTATCAACAAACTTACTAACCATGCCTCCAATATTCTCATCCAAATCATTTAAATAAGTGACGAAAAGCAATGGACACAGCACTGATTCTTGTAGCACACTGTTGGTCACAGGCCTCCAACCTGAACAACCCTGTACCACCACCCTCTGTCTCCTACCATCAAGCCAATTTTGTATCCAATTGGCTCTCTCCCCCTGGATCCCATGTGATCTAACTTTACTGATCAGTCTGCCATGTCGAACCTTGTCGAAGGCCTTGCTACAGTCCAGGTAGAAATGGACATCTACCGTTCTGCCGTCATCTATCTTCTTGGTCACCTCTTCAGAAATGAATAGTGGAGACTGAGATCAAAGAGGCCACAAAGGTTCAAGGGAACCATTTACTACCAGATTGAAGATTCCATATTGGAGAAGTTTTGTTCAGACTTTTTGGCACCTTTGATTGGGGAGCTTGAGAGTGGAATGACTCCACTGGAAGTGGTGAGCTTGATAGGAAAGAAAATGGGAAAAGAAAGGTCATCACTATGATCACAATGGGAAGGATTTGATCACTACAACCCAGAGGGTCCCCAGAGGGTAGTGGGGTCTCGGATTCACAACCTCAGAGGGACCTGGGCTGAAACCTTCTTCAAGTTTTTTTAAAAATGCAGTGGTGCAATACAGAGCAGCAGATCAAGAGCTGAAAGGTGGGAGGCTGTGGAGCTTGTTTCTGAACAGCACAGACACAATGGGCTGAATGGTCTTAACCAGTAATACAGATCAATTTCTTGATGATGTTGAGGGATTTGGGAAGCTGATGGTGTTATTGACAATGAAATGGTTTTTGAATCATTGAGGACAGGGATCAGAACGAAATAAAAACAGAAGTTGCTGGAAAAGCTCAGCAGGTCTGGCAGCATCTGTGAAGAAAAATCAGAGTTAATGTTTCAGGTCCAGTGACCCTTCCTCAGAACTGGAGTGTCTGACAGACTCACCAATTCCCATAAGGATTCCAACCTGTTCTCTCAGTTCCTCCACCTCTGTTTTGATAATGCCGCTTCTTGCAGTGGGACTCAGAAATGGTCACCCTTTTCCTCAGCTTAGGATTTCCCGCTACTGGGGTTGACGGGTCCCTTAGCCATATCCGACCCACCTCCCACACTTCTGCTCTCGCCCCTTCTTCCCTCCTACAACGATAATAAGGTCTTCCTGCTTCTCATTTCCCATCCCACCAACTTAGCATCCAAAGGATCATAAACTGCCATTTCTGTCACCCCCAGCACGACGCCACGACCAGACACATATTCCCCTCCCCTCCCTTCTCAGCATTCCACACTGTGGTCCACTCCTCCTCCATTCCCAAAAGCTCCCCACAATCCCATGGCCCCATTCAGTTCCTCGGTCTTTACCATCCAATGGCCAAACATAGCTTCCAGGGCCCAGCGCCCAGTTCAGACTCCGGTAGATTTAACGGAGCCTGCATTGGTGAGATCAGCCCAGCATGGAGTCATGGCGGCGACGATGTCAGAGGAGGCACAATGGAGCCGAAGACTGGCGGCATGGTTCCAGCGACAGCTGTGCAGCTCCAGCACATGGCTGAGCCTGGATACCTGATGACAAAGGCGGATCGTGTTCCAAACTGTGGATTCAGGGCGCCGGAGTGTTCGCAGACTGTGGGATGGACTTGGTGGTTTTGCTTTTCTGGCAGGAAGGGCTCATGTTGGAAGTAGGGGAGCAATCTGGATGTTTCCTTTACTTGTGGCTGTTTCGTTTATTTTGCTTTGGCTTTTTAATCTGTCTTTTGTATTCTAAGATGGCTCTGGAGAATGACAACTTATACACTTTTCACTGTACTCCTGTACTCGAGTATGCATGACAATAAATTCTAATCATAAATGAGTTTGAGATGAAGCAGTGATTTGCCTGCACTTCTTTCAATTCACTAGACTATTCGCTGTTCACACTGCGGTCTCCGCTATACTGGGGAGACAAAGCACAGACTGGTTGACCGCTTCGCAGAGCACCTATGCTTTGTCTGCAACAATGATCCAATGCTCCCAATTCAATTTGGGTGGCATGATTGTCATAGTTGAATAGCTGAAGGTATATGGAGGCCGCAAGTTGTGGGTATGAGACTGGCAACATTGATAAGTGCGTAAGGGTGAAGTGGAACATATGAATGTGAAGCATAATTGATACGGAGTAATAGAAATCTGGTGCATTGAACAGTGTGAGAGGTTGTCACTGCTGTCAGTGGAATATGGAATTTGAAGAAACATTCACTGACATTGATATGTTATCCAATGCCATTAAACATTTACTGACAGAATATTCCAAACCTCAAAAGCCAAATCCGGCACATTGACCTCCACGGCTATCAGCTCACATTCCTTTCATAGTGTCTGGGCCTCCTGATCCCTTGTGGTGAGAAGGCCTCTCTCTTCCCTTCCATCTCCCATGCAAAAGTTTTCAGCACCACATCCGAGCATCGAAGACCTTTCCCCCTGGTCTGTTCCTTCATCGTTTTGGTATTCTCTTACTCAGAGATAATTTCCCAGCAACTTTCAGCGTTTCGGCCGCCAGGAGGCACCTGCCCTTGAAGAGATTGAATTGGTTTTAAGAAGTACAGACTATGATTTTAATTGATGTTAGCCTATCACGAGTCTGAGTCCTGACTGAGCCACACTGAGCAGACGGTTTGGGGTGTGTGTAGATGTTACAATCACGGAAGTGACCGAGCAGCACAAAGTTTTCACCTCGGTTCAACACGGGTAATTGTGCAATACTATCACCAGAAAGTAATGAGAGATGGAGAGTTAATTTCTGGCCTTACTGGTAATGTCTTACTCCCAAGAATAAAATTTTAAAATGTGGAGCATATAATCTCAATGGAACTAGAACAGGAGTGAATATTCAAAAAGCAATGTAAAAGTATAAAAATCATAGCCAATCCTTTGGAATGTCTTTAGGTTTCTGGTATAACAGGCCATTCCATTTTGAACCTACAGAATTCTGCTTTACTTGAGCTCCTGATTTAGGCAGGTTCACTTGATGTCATTTCCCTTCAAAACATTGGTGTTGACAAAATTTCTGATGCAAATTAACTGCAATTTGGAACTCAGTGTTCTGAAACTGGTCCAAATTAAGGGCTGAGGCTGCACTTCAGGGAAGGTTTTAGCAAGATATCCTCAGAACCTTACACTCTCTGGTTCCGTTTCCAAATGATCCAACATCATCTGACTTTGTTAATGATGTA